ATATATCATTTGAATCCAATTACACAAATTTATTTGAACTTGTTAAATAGTGTTTTAGGTTTATAGGTGTTACGGGCTAACATTTGAATTACAACGTATCAAATGATATAAACAATCCAAACACCAAAAATATATTTAACAAGTCAAGAAATTTAACATAGTTGAATTAGAAAGAGTATATATAATATATTCATTTTTCAAGTTTTAATAACAAACTCTATCAAAATTTAGAATATAGACAAATTCTAATTTTAGATCAAAGTCAATGAACTAAAAACAAATTTAATCCAAATAAAATCTACAATATCATATTTAAAATCTACCTTTGGTGATTCCTAATTACACATGACTTTAAAGGTTTTTGAAATTTCAAAAACGTGCATGACGTAGTTTCAAGGATATTGTGCATCTTCAATGAGATGAGAACATAAATAATATATATCGATTTGACACCTTGAAAGAGATGAAAAACAAGACCAAAATATGCTATAAAAGAAGAATTAAGGTGATTGGTACAATCTCTACTTATTCTAATAAGTACTATAATACATTGTGTTGCAATAATAATTACTAGTGTTGTCAAAATGGGTTAGAACCCACGGATCAACCCTGCTCATCACTCGTTCGAGCTGGGTTAGGTTTGAAACAAATGTAATTTTTTTATATAGACCAATTTTCAACCCGGCTAACTTAGAATATGCGGGTCAACCCGGTCCATCATTAGTTCGAGCCAGGTTGGGTTTGAAACAAATGTAATTTTTTTTATACAGACCAATTTTCAACCCGGCTCACTCGGATTGAGCCTGTGGTGAGCCGGGTTGGCTTGCCAACCCATCTAGTTTAATTTAATTAGTTATTACTTTGTGTTTCAATATTATTAGTTAATATATTTTTATTATATTGTAAATGAGGATAAAAAAGATGTTTCAAGAGAGCAAAATATTATAAATTTATCTATTCAGAACTCTAATCTTAAACATGGATAAGTGACACAAAAATGATCAATATTAAAAACTTATTTATTCGTTTTTTGAGCTTGTTTTTGAATTTCATTTGAGTTGTATGTGTTACTTTTTTTGCATTATTTTTGAAGTTTAACATCATTTTAAAGTGAAATTTATTTATATTTGAATTACAAAAAATATAAACCTTTTTTTGAATTTAAAAAAAGAACTTGTAATTAAGTGAGTCGGTGAGTCAACTCGTTTAATCCATCAATCCGTGTGAGCTGGACAAGTTCGAATTTTTTTCGACTCGCTGATAAGTGAGCCAGATTGATATGACTCACTAATAACCAACTCATAGTAGGCCGAACCGAGTCGGACCAGATGACCCGTGTTAGACCGGATGACCCGTTTTGTTAAAGAGTTTGTAGATGTTTCAGACTAACATTTGAATTACAACATATCAAATTATATAAACAACCCAAACACCAAAAACATATTTGACGAGTCAAGAAATTTAACATAGTTGAATTAAAAAGAGTATATATATATATATATATATATATATATATATATCCATTTTTCAAGTTTTAATAATAAAGTCTATCAAAATTTGGAATATAAACAAATTCCAATTTTAGATCAAAGTCGATGAACTAAAAACAAATTTAATCCAAATAAAATCTATAATATCATATTTAAAATCTACCTATGGTGATTCCTAATTACACGTGACTTTAAAGGCTTTTGAAATTTCAAAACCGTGCATGACGTAGTTTCAAGGATATTGTGCATCTTCAATGAGATGAGAACATAAATAATATATATCAATTTGATACCTTGAAAGAAATGCAAAAACAAGACGAAATTCTACTATAAAAGAATAATTAAGGTGATTGGTACAATAATCCCTACTTGCTCTAATAAGTATTATAATACATTTGTTGCAATAACAATTATTAGTGTTGTCAAAATGGGTTGGAATCCGCGGATCAATCTGACCCATCAATCGTTTGAGCCGGGTTGGGTTTGAAACAAATGTAATTTTGTGATACAGACCAATTTTCAACCCGACTCACTTAGAACTCGTAGGTCAATCCGACCCATCACTGGTTCGAGCAAGGTTGGGTTTGAAACAAATGTAATTTTTTGATAGGGATCAATTTTCAACCTTGCTCACCCACTCTCTCATCAGTCCATTAAGCGTGACATTTTAGCTGTAAAAGTCACGAGTTACTCCCATTTGAATCATAACTTTGAATACATGTTTCGCATTTTTCACTTCACTGAAAAAGTAATACTCATAACACTATTAGGTTTTACACCAGCTTTCTTCATATCAGCTAACACATTTTTGCCTTCTTTGACCTTTCCTTCTTTGCATAATGCATCTATCAAGAAATTATAGGTATAAACATCCACCCCGAATTCCATGGTGAGTTTCAAAATGTTCTTCCATGGTCCCATTGTCACCATAACTGCGCAGGTTATTAAGTTCTCAACCTCAGAGAAAAGGTACCTGTCAAAATAACACTCCGACCATCGGTACCTGTAAAATCAAAAACACTCCCACCATCAAATCAGCCAAATCTAGTAAAGGGATTAAAAAAGTATAAGTTCTATCGGCAAAACTACCTTTCAATACACTGAATAATTGTGCTGTACATTGGCATAAGTAATTTGGTTGACATGTCCTTGTGTAATCACTCCTCATGAATGTTGAGTGCTTTTTTGAACTAATGCAAAAATCCTAACGTGATTTATCTGAATTAGGTCAAGAAAGCACTTAACCTTTATGACAAGTCACGATTTCAGAACGACAAATTGAGGGCTAATTTCCTTTTTCCATCTGCTTAGAAAGGAAAATAGAAGTAGCGTGGAGAAGTTTGTGAGCGTCATGGGAAGGGAACTCAGTGTGAAAGGATTTGACACAAGAAGAAAACTTGGGAATGCAACAACAAAGACCAACCCTAGCAGCTATTTGTTTCCAGCATTGGATATCAGGTAGCACCAAAGTGGAAAATATTAGGTTAAATCTGATGTCATATTTTTTCCCTTTTAAATTTTCCTTCCTCATATATATAGATAAAGTAGAAAAATTTTGGCTTAATTTTCATCATAAGACTTTTTAGAATGTTTAATATCGTTTTGATTTGTATTTTTTTTTTCAATTTTGTTTTTTTAATGATGTATAAATTATTAACGATAGAATATTCATGTGTATATTTGGTGGATGAAGTGTTCTTTTTTGTTTACATGGTTTGTCGATACTAGGATTTCTCACTTCCACCTTATGTTATCATTATATACTAGTATTTCAAACTTTTACTTTCTTTTTCTTTCCCTTTAATTTTCATATCTCATTTTCCTTTAATTCACGTCTTTTATTTTCATTTTTTTTCTATAATTTGGATTTACAACTCAAATTTAATAGAATTACATTTGTGATATTTTGTTTTGAAAATAAATATAATGAATGTGTCTTATGTTTTTTGTTTTTTTTATTGATCGGAGAAAATGTTTGGTTTTATTTTTCACTGTGGGAAATAAACTAAAACATGGAAATTGTATCTACATATATCATTTTATGTTGTTTTATGAAGTAATGATTTTGGGATTTATTTAAAAAATTGCATCTCGGTTTTAGATGTGTGCGCAAGTGTTTCATTGCAGTGTGTCATTGATGTGTGTGGTGGCTGACATGGTGGCTATGGTTTTTGTGTTGGGAGGTTGAAGATAGTAACGTGATAATGTGAATATTGTGTTGGATGAGCCACGTAACAAAAAATAAACACCTCATCCATTTGATTGCTCACATGGACATTACGTCATTAACAATTCAAACGTCATAAGAAAAAACAAATGAAAATTGAAACCATATTAAACACTACAAAAATTGAGTTCTATATTATAAAAAAAATAGAGAACAAAATTTTTATTAAACTTATAATAATAAAATAAAAATGTTAATAATATTAAATATTACAAATAATAATAATATGAAAAGATTTATATTTTGATGATGAAATAATAATAATAATAAATAATCATAATAATACTAATAAAAAATAATAATATACATCTTTTATTCTTTTACTATTTTATATAATCTTTCATATCTATTTTTTATTTCTCTTCATCTTTTATAATTTTTCTCTTCGTTCAAACGATTTCACCTTCAAATTTTCTTTTTTCTTCTTTTCAATCTTCTAAATCTATCTTTTCAATCCAACCTAAACTTATTGACATTAATATTGAAAAATAGGCATAACCGCAGCTCTTTATATACTCAGTAGATTAAAATTAATTAAATTTAAAATTATTGTTATTTTTCTCATATTTATACGATATTAATCTTTACCTTAAAGTAAAATTAAGGTAAAGTATTATTAATAAAAACCTAGAAAATATAATAATAAGACAATGCGATTACATATTACATTTATTTATAATTTTGAAAATAGAAAAATAACATTATAAAAAAAATGATACTCCAATATTTAATTTAAAAAATTATAAAATAACACAAAACTATATAATTTATCTTTTCAATAAAAACTTTAAAAGAATATAATATTTTAATAAAAATAAAAACAAATAAATTATATCATTAAACTATATATCATTTAAATCCAATGACACTAATTTGTTTGGACTTATGAAACAGTGCTTTAAATTGACATTTTAATTGAAATATATAAAATATAAACAATTCTAATTTCACGTTAAATTTCAAGAACTAAACATATTTAATCGAAATGAAAATTACAATATCTTTAAATTCTATCCATGGTGATTCCTAATTACATATCAATTTAAAAAGGCTTTTAAAATTTCAAAAGCATGACATAGTTTCAAGGATACAGAGGATATGCAATGAGGATGAAAACATAAATAATATATATGACACCTACATAGACATGCAAAACCAAGACCAAATTCTGCTATAAAAGAAGAATTAAGGTGATTGGTACAATCCCTACTTGCTCCAATACGTACTATATATAATACATTGTGTTGCAATAATAATTACTATTACACAAATATATATTGACATGACTTCTTGCAGATGTAAAAAAATGATACTTAAATACAACAGAATCCTACAGTTAACTTCTACACCCAAAAAAATGTGAAAGGTTTCTGTGCAACAATTCATTCTCTCTTTTGTAAAGGGAGGAACATTGGAAAGTTAGATCAAAATCATGAATCAAGTATGCAGGGAAGCAACCTTTGTCAACTCATCCAGAGTCTCATCACTGACCTCTGTAAGTGGCTCCTCCTATATTGAAGAAATAGGATCAACATAACCAAAGGACAAATGTACTCAGAGTAAAACATCAAAAATCAACATTGATCAAGTGAAGGCAATTGGGTATTCTATATCTTTGGTAGAACAAGAAATCATAAACAATTATTGGCCATGATGCACACATACAAAAGGTGGATCAAATATAAATGATAGTCATTAATTATGAATTGTTTTCTACAGTGTACATACAACTTGGAGTAGTATGAATCTTTGAGTTTTTGATTCACTAAAGGCAATGTTTCTATGTCTATATACTCTACATTTTTAAGTCTTATATATAGTTGCATTGGATTTTCAAAACTTCTTTTTAAAGGGTTTGAAACTTCAAAGACACACATCAGTGAAGAGTAGAAAAATATTGGTATTGGATTTCACTTCACACAATGCAAGAACGGCAACTGAGAGGAGAGTTAGGTAGGTACCTCTTGATCATTGCTTTTTTTCACATCTATACACTTTGAACCACTAATGCTGGCACTCTTCAATAGGCTACGTGCACTGCAGTTTGGCTTGGAGGGTCCGTTTTGTGCATCTGGATTTCCAGAATCTGACTCATCAACTGCTGCAGTTGGATTTTCACCATCATCATTTTGATTATTTTCTTCCTTGGGAGCTGGAACTCGCTCTCTGGAAAAAGTAAATTGAAACAGTCAATTTACAAACATTGTAAAGATAATGTCAATAACAGTTTTGTAGGAATAACTACCAGTCTCATCCACAAACATTGTAAAGATAATGTCAGAGACAGTTTTGTAGGCATAACTACCAGTCTCATCCACAAACATTGTAAAGATAATGTCAGAGACAGTTTTGTAGGCATAACTACCAGTCTCATCCACCAACATTGTAAAGATAATGTCAGAGACAGTTTTGTAGGCATAACTACAGTTTCATCTACAAACATTGTAATGATAAATACTACCCTAGATTATAATTTTGAACCAATGATGGTAATAAAAAATATAGATAAAATAAATCTCCAAAAGAACAAGATTGTTAACGTGCAAATCAAGTACTTGAACAGGTTTGCCAAGTTTAACAAAGACTTACCTAGGCAAGGAGGCATGGTGCCTCAACAATGGAGTGCCTCGTTCACCTTTGCCAGAATGCTCCTCAAGATGAGCAAACTGTCGCTTGAATCGATCAACCCCACTGCAACAAGATAACACACAATTACAGATTAGAATCCCAAGAAAGCAGTGATTTTAAAGGTCCAACATTACACAGTTCTGAGGTATGCAGAAAAAAAAAAGGACAAGAAACCATCAGTTGCTTCTCAAGAGTAACCAACAAAAACTATACATGCATGCCAAATCAGGTGCAAGAATCATAAACAAAAACTAGACATGCATGTTAAATGTTTTGCTAGTGGAGGCTATAGCTCTTTATAAGAAATTGTGCAGAAAAAATCTAACAGAACTTTGGTGCAGTGCAGCAACAATAAATGTAAGGGATCCAAATCAAGTATCATAAAAGTTGGCTCAATATCTTATCTCCTTTAGCAAAGGACATACATGTCTACCAGTCTCATCAGCTTTCACAAATACATGAAGCCATTACTTTTCAAATGCATAGGCTGTTCAAGCATGGAGGATTGGATTCATTTTAACAAGTACATTCTGTTTTTCAGACCATCAAGTACAATGCATGAAATGTGAACCAGACTAATAATCATTAAGGTAGAAGTTCTGCTAAGTACCAGTTTGGTTTAAAGTTGAGAAGAATTGATTTTGATAGAACTGAGAAGATGAAGCATGAACATATTATAAAGCAGGAAAAACTACTTCAATTATGAACAATATGAGAAAAGTTCCAAATCACGACAAGAACTACTTGATATTTTAGGGGATAGTTTCCTAAAAAACTATAATAAGATAGCACTATCAGAAATTTCAAAAACAAATCGAGTTAGAGGGAGATAAAATGCCCCCTACCTTGGATACATGAAGCTAGTTTGTTCTCCACCGCGAAGATATTCTTGGAGCATCTGGGGATGATACTCTAAAATCTGTTGAGTACAAATGTAAAAGTCATTATTACCAAGCCAAAAAAGAGAAGACAATATCAAGCCATTGAAATGCGTGGCCATACCTCTCGATAAATCAACTCTCTAACATCATCTTTGGTCAATTTTCTCCTCTCAAACTCAAACTCCAGCTTTGAAATGGGTTGAGTGGATGGTTCACGGTCCACATTGGCCAAACCATTGAAATAAGGGTCACTTAGTGCCTGCAATCACAGGCATAACAAAGAAGAAGTAAGGAACTTGGGAAATTATCTGCATAATCAAACGAAATTTCCTCTTTGGTAGCTATCTAGGTAACCAAAGATCAACCTCTTCAGCTGCTGGACGATCTTTAGGATCAAATGCAAGTAATCGCTCCAGTAAATGAAGACCCAAAGGATCTACATTTGGAAATTTTTTGGTGAATGGAATAGGTTGTTTTTTCCTCATGCTACCAAGGTACCTTCTAGCCTTCTCATTTCGAATCTGTGAAATTAAGATTAAAAATTACTAACATGAGGACAAGCTATAGGAAATAAAGTAACCATTAGAACAGACATGGATGTTTTAAAACAGGAAAATCAGAAGCTTATAATTAATACCATTAGCATGTTACAAGTTTGTTTTAGACCTCTCAGACCTTGAGTAGTCTCTGCAGTCCAGCATGTTACAAGTTTGCCTATTGATGTTAAAAAATGGATAATGGATTTTTGAATAAACTGACCTTAGAAATGGTTTCAGTAGGAGGAGTACCAAGCAGGTCAGTTATGAGATCCAATTGGTGCACTACATTTTTTCCTGGAAACAATGGCTTCCCAGTGAGCATTTCTGCAAATATGCATCCAATGCTCCAAATATCAATTGCGGGAGTATACTGCAAAAGGCAAGGATATAAAATTACACACGTATATCAATACTTTTTAAGTATTCTTCAACTTCATATTTCGTACACAAATTCAAATCTTTGCAAAAAGATGATGAAGAAGCAACTAAAACAGAATGACATGTACATGTCACATATATAATAATTGAAATTTCAAATAAACAAATCAACTCTAAATTCAAGAAGTATTTTCATGTGGGGGAGTACTATTATATATGCACATCAAGCTAATTTTCAAAAATAAAAGGTATAACAAGAGAATTGAACTATATCATATAATTAAGCACAAACAGATTTGGAGCCATAACATACATGTCACAAACTACAGAAAGAGGTAGAAAGAATACAAGAAACTTACTTTTGAGAAAAAAGAGCCGCATAGTTCAGGTGCACGATACCACCGGGTTGCAACATAGTCCTTAATAAGAGTACGTAAAATTAGTCAGCAAAATGTTTAGAAGGATAATTCTGGCACAGAAACCATAAATTTGATTGCACTTTTCAGCTGAAAATCTTAGAAAGCAGAAGCAGAACAGAAATAACAAGTGAATCAATTTCCAATAATACTTACGGTCCAGAATATAGCTGACGGAGCCTCATTAAATGAAACTCGAGCAAGTCCGAAATCACATATTTTTAGTTTGCAATCAGCATTAGCTAGAATATTTTTTGGCTTCAAATCACGATGAAACACATTTGCTGTAAGAAAACAATTGTTTGGGTTCAATATCGCTATCTGAAAAGGTTAAGTACTTAATCACAAGTATACCTGTGTGTATAAATTTGAGGCCTCTAAGAAGTTGGTACAAGAAAAATTGATAGTGCTCAGGGCTAAGATCATCGTTTGCCTTAATCACTTGATGAAGATCAGACTCCATCAACTCAAACACAACATAGACATCCCTGAACTCTCGTCGGGAGGGAGGAAGCATTATGTGCTTTATCTCAACTATATCAGGATGTCGAAGCAAACGAAGGAGTTTTATTTCTCTTAGGATCCGTGTGGCATCTGACACATGCTCGAAAACATCATTGATTTTCTTTATTGCAACTTTTTCCCCATTATGACTGTCAACAGCAGAACACACAACACCGTAACTCCCTTTTCCAATCACTTCCAGGATGTCATACCTANATAACTACCAGTCTCATCCACCAACATTGTAAAGATAATGTCAGAGACAGTTTTGTAGGCATAACTACAGTTTCATCTACAAACATTGTAATGATAAATACTACCCTAGATTATAATTTTGAACCAATGATGGTAATAAAAAATATAGATAAAATAAATCTCCAAAAGAACAAGATTGTTAACGTGCAAATCAAGTACTTGAACAGGTTTGCCAAGTTTAACAAAGACTTACCTAGGCAAGGAGGCATGGTGCCTCAACAATGGAGTGCCTCGTTCACCTTTGCCAGAATGCTCCTCAAGATGAGCAAACTGTCGCTTGAATCGATCAACCCCACTGCAACAAGATAACACACAATTACAGATTAGAATCCCAAGAAAGCAGTGATTTTAAAGGTCCAACATTACACAGTTCTGAGGTATGCAGAAAAAAAAAAGGACAAGAAACCATCAGTTGCTTCTCAAGAGTAACCAACAAAAACTATACATGCATGCCAAATCAGGTGCAAGAATCATAAACAAAAACTAGACATGCATGTTAAATGTTTTGCTAGTGGAGGCTATAGCTCTTTATAAAAAATTGTGCAGAAAAAATCTAACAGAACTTTGGTGCAGTGCAGCAACAATAAATGTAAGGGATCCAAATCAAGTATCATAAAAGCTGGCTCAATATCTTATATCCTTTAGCAAAGGACATACATGTCTACCAGTCTCATCAGCTTTCACAAATACATGAAGCCATTACTTTTCAAATGCATAGGCTGTTCAAGCATGGAGGATTGGATTCATTTTAACAAGTAAATTCTGTTTTTCAGACCATCAAGTACAATGCATGAAATGTGAACCAGACTAATAATCATTAAGGTAGAAGTTCTGCTAAGTACCAGTTTGGTTTAAAGTTGAGAAGAATTGATTTTCATAGAACTGAGAAGATGAAGCATGAACATATTATAAAGCAGGAAAAACTACTTCAATTATGAACAATATGAGAAAAGTTCCAAATCACGACAAGAACTATTTGATATTTTAGGGGATAGTTTCCTAAAAAACTATAATAAGGTAGCACTATCAGAAATTTCAAAAACAAATCGAGTTAGAGGGAGATAAAATGCCCCCTACCTTGGATACATGAAGCTAGTTTGTTCTCCACCGCGAAGATATTCTTGGAGCATCTGGGGATGATACTCTAAAATCTGTTGAGTACAAATGTAAAAGTCATTATTACCAAGCCAAAAAAGAGAAGACAATAAATTATAAAGTGAATCAAGCCATTGAAATGCGTGGCCATACCTCTCGATAAATCAATTCTCTAACATCATCTTTGGTCAATTTTCTCCTCTCAAACTCAAACTCCAGCTTTGAAATGGGTTGAGTGGATGGTTCACGGTCCACATTGGCCAAACCATTGAAATAAGGGTCACTTAGTGCCTGCAATCACAGGCATAACAAAGAAGAAGTAAGGAACTTGGGAAATTATCTGCATAATCAAACGAAATTTCCTCTTTGGTAGCTATCTAGGTAACCAAAGATCAACCTCTTCAGCTGCTGGACGATCTTTAGGATCAAATGCAAGTAATCGCTCCAGTAAATGAAGACCCAAAGGATCTACATTTGGAAATTTTTTGGTGAATGGAATAGGTTGTTTTTTCCTCATGCTACCAAGGTACCTTCTAGCCTTCTCATTTCGAATCTGTGAAATTAAGATTAAAAATTACTAACATGAGGACAAGCTATAGGAAATAAAGTAACCATTAGAACAGACATGGATGTTTTAAAACAGGAAAATCAGAAGCTTATAATTAATACCATTAGCATGTTACAAGTTTGTTTTAGACCTCTCAGACCTTGAGTAGTCTCTGCAGTCCAGCATGTTACAAGTTTGCCTATTGATGTTAAAAAATGGATAATGGATTTTTGAATAAACTGACCTTAGAAATGGTTTCAGTAGGAGGAGTACCAAGCAGGTCAGTTATGAGATCCAATTGGTGCACTACATTTTTTCCTGGAAACAATGGCTTCCCAGTGAGCATTTCTGCAAATATGCATCCAATGCTCCAAATATCAATTGCGGGAGTATACTGCAAAAGGCAAGGATATAAAATTACACACGTATATCAATACTTTTTAAGTATTCTTCAACTTCATATTTCGTACACAAATTCAAATCTTTGCAAAAAGATGATGAATAAGCAACTAAAACAGAATGACATGTACTTGTCACATATATAATAATTGAAATTTCATATAAACAAATCAACTCTAAATTCAAGAAGTATTTTCATGTGGGGGAGTACTATTATATATGCACATCAAGCTAATTTTCAAAAATAAAAGGTATAACAAGAGAATTGAACTATATCATATAATTAAGCACAAACAGATTTGGAGCCATAACATACATGTCACAAACTACAGAAAGAGGTAGAAAGAATACAAGAAACTTACTTTTGAGAAAAATGAGCCGCATAGTTCAGGTGCACGATACCACCGGGTTGCAACATAGTCCTTAATAAGAGTATGTAAAATTAGTCAGCAAAATGTTTAGAAGGATAATTCTGGCACAGAAACCATAAATTTGATTGCACTTTTCAGCTGAAAATCTTAGAAAGCAGAAGCAGAACAGAAATAACAAGTGAATCAATTTCCAATAATACTTACGGTCCAGAATATAGCTGACGGAGCCTCATTAAATGAAACTCGAGCAAGTCCGAAATCACATATTTTTAGTTTGCAATCAGCATTAGCTAGAATATTTTTTGGCTTCAAATCACGATGAAACACATTTGCTGTAAGAAAACAATTGTTTGGGTTCAATATCTCTATCTGAAAAGGTTAAGTACTTAATCACAAGTATACCTGTGTGTATAAATTTGAGGCCTCTAAGAAGTTGGTACAAGAAAAATTGATAGTGCTCAGGGCTAAGATCATCGTTTGCCTTAATCACTTGATGAAGATCAGACTCCATCAACTCAAACACAACATAGACATCCCTGAACTCTCGTCGGGAGGGAGGAAGCATTATGTGCTTTATCTCAACTATATCAGGATGTCGAAGCAAACGAAGGAGTTTTATTTCTCTTAGGATCCGTGTGGCATCTGACACATGCTCGAAAACATCATTGATTTTCTTTATTGCAACTTTTTCCCCATTATGACTGTCAACAGCAGAACACACAACACCGTAACTCCCTTTTCCAATCACTTCCAGGATGTCATACCTACTTGCCTCTCCATACTCAGTAAAAAACTCTGCCTCCCCTGTTCCCTGTTTGATGAATCAATATTTAGAGACAGACAAATAGCATGAAAATATTATTTGATTTGAGTACTATAAATTAATTCGTGTTCTTGTCTTTCAACCAACTACAAGCTCTATGGTAATAGATGTAAATCACAGATACAGTATCAAAAAATATAACTTGGATTCCGAACAAGTTACCCATTATCAGGCTAACTTAATAATTGCCAAATGCTACCTCTTTAGTTTCTAATAGTTTGATTCATAACCAGAAAGAAGCACCAAATGAAATCAATTTCAACCTATAAAATCAAACCTCTCTGGTATATCCTTTTGCATATTCTCAGACAAAACTTGAACCAGATTCTAAACATAACTCTTTGCCATGATTTACAAATACTAATTGTTAAAATAAAAATGGACGCAAAAGCAAATCAAAAACAAAAATTGAAAATACGGATTGGAATAAGATTGAAACTTGAACGACACCCGTTGCTCAGAAAAGCTACAAAAAGGCATGATCTTTCACAACCCACAGAAGAAAAAAGTAATTTTGTTTAAAAGGGACCTTTTTGTTACGATCCATGGAGGAAGATTTGAAGTGGGAGCGTTTGGGGGCTTTGAGAGAAGGTTGAAGGAAGATGTTTGAACGTAAATGTCTCTCAGGAGGAGAATGTTGTTAACGTTGTTGTTGGCATTTTTGTTGAGGTTGTTTTTGTTGTTGTGAAGGTGAATGTGAGAGTTAATAGAATTGCATCGATGGAAGAAACGAAGAATGCCATCCACGAAAGAGTGTTGCTCCCACACCACCCATATACACTCACTCTTCCTCAATCTGCGCCTACCCCATTTCTCTCTCTCTCAATTTCCTTCCCTCTCTTCTTTTTCTTATTCTCTATTTTGGTTTTATCTCTGTCGTCTTTCTACTGTTTTGGAATTTTCTGCGCCTGCGGAAAACATGGCAAGAAAATCTTGATGTGGTCTTTTCGACATTGACATCTAACTATTATTATTATTATTATTATTAAATTATTAGAAAAAAAAAACTGAAATTCTTATCCAAATAAACTACCTTCATGATGCTGTATTCTCAGTCATGTTTATCTTTTTCAAGTCAATCTGAAATCTGAATCAGAAACAAAAACTATATAACTAGAAGGATTTTGACAATGAAGATTTCCATTTAGGAAAATTGAAGTAAAAATATGAATTGATACAACTTATTCTTCTCAATGTTATTACCTTTTACAGTAAGAGCTACTTTTACAAGAACAAGACAATAATAAAAAGAAAAACTATACTCACTGTTTTTCTAAATTTATATGGATGAATTTTAAAATAGATATATTTCTTTTATGTTTTTGATATAATCATTCTTAAACTGCTTAAATTTGTAAGTAATCTTTTAGTTCTCTTATATTTTTAATGAATCAAATTAATTTTAATAAAAGTATGTATAAAATAATAATAAATTTGATCATATACTTGATAATTGTTTTGTATGGTAAAACTATATTTCATTAAAAGTGTATGGACATTATAGGAATAATATCAAGATTTGAAAAATTTAACATAATTAACTAATTTCATTAACGAGTCTAAAGTTATTTGTTATTTTTACATTATTATATGTTAAATTTATTAATTATTATAATTATTATTTTAAAAACTTCTAACTAATAAAAATATATATATAATAAATCAACAGAAAATTTGAACTTTTAAGTTTACCCTTATATCCCATCAAATTATACTAATTTCATTTTATTGGTTTCACTCATACGATTATAAATTTTTCTAACATTATTGAGTTTGAATTATTAGAATAGAAGTTTATTAATTTCAAGAAACATATTTTTAACATAAATAAATAAATAAATAAATTGAGCATGAAGATTCCAAAGTTTGATTGCTCTTCTCCATCCATACTTTGTCTTTACTGTCTTCCATCATTATCTACACTTCTTATTATTTACTTTTGCTTTCTTAAGTTTCTCACCATTTTAATTTCTTTATTTTAACTGTTCAATCTCAGTTTATCTATTAAAAAAAGTTTATGTCACTTTATTATAACAGTGTTTTATACTGTTGATAATATTTTTGTTGATTATTTGATTTTTATTGATAATATTGATTGGGTTAGGTTATCTGATAATTTAATTTCATCAAATCCAACTCGATTTAATTAGATTGTATTTTATTTATGATTGGATCCAATTTTATCTAACCCACTCATATGCATATTATTTAATAAATCCGATATTCATTTTTATAATTGTATTATATAAATTGCGTTATATTTTATTTTCACGTTTTGAATTAATTAATTTGAATAAATTTATTATGACTTCATTTATTGGTTTACTTTAAAAAATCATTATTTTAATTAGTTTTATACTTGAAAAATAACAATTTTTAATAACATAAAATAATTTTTTTAACTTAAATGATTTAATTAAATCCAGACTACTATAAAAGTTCATTTCAGTTTGATATTTTATTTAATGAGTGGGATAATGAATTTATCCAAAATTTACTAAATTATATACCATAATTATACTGACAATATAATAAAAGTATGTTTCTCTTTTTAATCGTCATATAGAATTTTTTGATAATGTAGAATTTTTTTCCTTTTAGAGTCCATCTTTTTTTCATTAATACAAAATAACAGAAAATTTAGAGAAAGTAATGGTCAATATTTTTTTCAAAGTTGTCCTTGGCAATTCCAGATGACTTGTTGGTTGGAAAACTAGAAAATTAGAATTGTGCATGAGTTGTATGATAAAATGTCTGGAAAAGATGATGATGATTGAAAATAATTATAGCACTTTATGAACAAAGTTATCAAATTTGAGAATTTATGTAAACTCGTGAGAGTCAAGTAAATTCGATTCGTAAACTTGTAAGAATTTATGAAAAAAATTATATAAATAATATTTTAATTCAAATAAGTCTACAAAATTATATAATTTTAAATAAATAAAATTCATAGTTATATTGTTCATAAAGTTAAATATTGTAAAACATAAATACTTGAATTATTGTCATTAGCTTTGATGCATTTCATTAAATATATAACTTTTAAGCTCGCAGAATCGCTCTAAACTCACGATTTTACATACGATCCTACCGATTTCACAATCAATTCTATCGAGTTTACACAGAAAACGAGTTTACTTCCGAGTTAACTCGAAAGTCATGTCTGAGAACGTAAACTCTTACGAGTTTACGAGTTAACTCGAGAGTTTGATAATCATATTTGCGAAGGGCCAATCCACATAGCAGAAGTTGACTTAAAAGATTGAATATAAAGGTGAAAGTGTGAAATAAAACCATTAATGTTTGATACAAGCATGGTCATTGTAAGCTAAACATTACAACTCACATGATTACATATACACAGTACTAAAGAAATGCAATGTGTAAAAATTTGGCTCTGTAATTTATTATTCTAATTTGCTAGGATAATGTACTTTCAAATGCATATGATATTATTGTAGCAATATAGCATAACTCAAGTGTATTCCCATATTGAAGTGAGCTGCAACAAGTGAAAGACAACTCTACATATGATATAATGCTTGTAAAAACATCTGTCATCCTGAAATTTAACACAAGTAAACAATACCACTTCAGTTCATTTACAATTTGTCATATTATCTAAATAGTGTCGATCTAATTATGGCCCAAACAGTAGTGATTTCACTAGGATTGATATGATTATTCTTAACAGTAAGCATGTCCATAATCCAACCGATCGATCCATCGACCGTTTTATGTGGGACCGAAAGATTTTTTAATTGCTTCGTCCTTGGCTGACTAAGGGGTCATAACCAACTATTTAGATATCAAACTTGTATTTATAGATTTTAGGATAAACTTTTAAATAGTGTTGACCTAATTGGCCCAACAGTAGTTATCTCACTTATGGTTGATGTAATTATTTTTAGCACTAACTATGTCTATAGTCCGACTGATCGATCTACCGACTGTTTCATGTGAGACCGGAAAATTTATTAATTGTTTTGTTTTTGACTGACCAAGTGATCATACTATACGTGTCATATTTGTCATATTAAACTAGAAGTTCAATAAGTAATTGGATTTTGTTTTTGTCTAGTTACATAATATTTTCTTATAACCAGACATTTAAAATTTAGTGAAAAATTCAGTGAAGTTGCTTGGATAATTAAATGTTGATTTAGGATGATAAAGATATAGAAAAGAAAATATTTTCTCAATAATAGCCTAAATCTATTAATAAAATTTAAAGGGATTGAAGTCGTCTTCACCAAAATTATATCTTACCTTTTATCCCTATATAATGAACTTATGTCATTTTTAATTAAAATATTACATTTAATCTAATTACATTTTAACATTAATATTTCATCCATCCTTGTGTACCTTATTTAACAACCCTGTTATTCTAATAATAAGTAAACAACATATGATATACATAATAATAGAATACAAAAGTTAAGACAATTTTTCGTATAACTTACAAAGCTTTAAAATTATTTATAGATTATATAAAAATAGATGTTTGAATCCTCTGGTTAAAATATTAAAAAATATTGTTATGCAAGTCCAACATAAAATAATATCATATTTGTTTTATCGTGTACTATTGTGTTAAAATATGATCATTAAATTTACACAATATCTATATTTAAACAGGATAAACTAGTTTGAAATTAAAATAACTAATCTATTTAAGAAATGTAAAATGATAAATTCAAAGTGAATAACTTACCCAAACATAAATTGTTGATAAAAAAAATACTAAATAAGTATAACATAACTGGACTTCAAAAGATTTGATTAAGTTTAAGTATATACTTGATCATTTCATTATATACACTTATCAATGGAATTTGTGTATACTTATCTAATTAAAGTAACTCACCACTTTAGAAAAAATATTCATTAACCCACAATTCATTTAAAGTTAAATAAAATAGGGAAATTAATCACATTTAAACTATTTAAATAAAGTTAAAGAAATACAACATGTTAAGTAAGCTATTTTTGTTCACTCTTACAATTCTAATAATGGTAAATTAGATTTTAAAGATCTTAAATGTGTATTAAGTGGTTATTCTTCTAAAAAATAAATATAAATATTATAGTTTTCACAGTCACTATGTGTTCAAACAATAATTTGACTTAACTTTCGGTTAAAATTATTTATGAACCAAAAATACACCTTTTATCATTACAAAAATTTACAATTTTATCGAGATTATTTTTTCTTTTCCGACGATTTTAACCCCGAAAAATACATTACCCACAGTTAAGAAAATCGTTGGGAAAAACTACATCGCTAAGTAATTTCTGGCAATTTTTTTCAAAACCGTCAATATTAAAAGGGATTTTATGAAAACAGGTGGTATTATTGAGAGTTTTTCAAAACCGCAGAAAATATGCAATTCATATTTTTTTTGTATTATTTATAATTTTGATAAAAACTCTTTAATATATCAATCAAATAATTTGAAATTAAAATTGAATATTATAAAATAAATAGTAAACATGTTTTAACACAACAAATTGTTCAAATAGTGATTTACATTTATACTTAATTACAGCTTCTAATAAACTAATAAAGTCTTCTTTAAAACCTATGATACAATAAGAACCTCACATAATTACTTAAAAAGTTCCCATTAAAATAATCTAAAGTATAAAATCCAGTAGAATTGTTGAGTGAGCCCTTTTGTTGCGTTTGACATTATCTCTTTTTCTCCTTTGATGACCCATTGACATTCTTGTATGTAACCTTAAAACAATATAAACAAATATTAAGCATTAAAATTTAACACTAAAACATTGTACATAATAAAAAAAACAAATGCCTGGTAAAAAAATCAAACCTTGCACCGAAAGCTCCAAAATTTAGTATCCTAAAACCACTTTAAAGTCTAAGTTTATCATTTTAAGATGAGAATTAATTGATATTAATGATATAAAAGTAGATAAGTGTATTTGTACTATTTGCAGATTCGAAGTTTTAAAATGAGAAAGGCTATATGATTTTTCTTCATAAAATTATTATATGATTCCTGGTGTATACTTAATTATATGTATATAAAATTAAAAAATTTCTAGACTGAAATTCTAAATCGTAATTTTCAAGGAACACAATCCTATTTTGGGAAGGCGTAACATCATAGAAATACTATAAGTTAAAATAATATAATAATATAATTTTCCATTTTGATTGATTGTAGAACTTGAAAAGTTATAGACAACTCGTAGAATTTTAAGTTGAAATGAATTAATATAGAAGTTGTGTTTGAATTTTTGCATCTTCTTCATCTTTAATTGGTTTAGTAATTTATTTGAATTTATAATGAAGAGTATTTTTAACATAAAAATATTATCATTTGTATGAGTTGTTAAATTTTGGCAAATAATTTGTTATGCTGGATTCTTTCTATCATTTAAAAATCTTAGATAACAGAACATTCGTTTTCAAAGAGTTCTTAAAAAAATTGAACAAATAATCGGAAACAGAAAGAGGTGGGTAAGAGAAGAAGCACTTGGTTTTTTTTGTGGCAGTGAATATGCCCAGAAAGTGGTTCAAATTCTATTCATATATTTCTATGACTAAATTAAAGTGATATTTTGATGAGGAGCCAAGTTGTCAAATGATGTTTGGTGCGAAATTGTAGTGAATGAAGCAAAATAAACGGTTGCATTTGCTTGGCTAAGAAAAGAGAAAAAGAAAGTAGTAATTTTAGATTATGAACGTGAATGTTATGCACCTTTTTACTTGGTCTTAAATTGGCAATTGGGTGTATGTGACGTACAAAATTCCTCAAAGCATTCTTTAAAAAAATTTACCTTGGGTGGCATGCGAGATTCAGCTATTCTTTTTGCTTCAACAAGAACCTGCATAAAAGAACAGAGGTAGGTATTATACCTTATTTTCTTTGAAGGTACACATATTGCAGAAACTAATGGCTATAATCTAAACAGTTCAAAACCTCTTCATCTCTGCATTCTTGTTGCCTTGTTTGAGAGAGGACCATGGACAGTGCTCACTTTAGCTTCATTTCTTGTGAAACATTATACAGTTCCTACAATGGGGAAGGACAAGTTATCACTATGATCAAGCAGATTCATGTTTTTAAGCAGTACCTTAAGCAGATTTAGAACATCACCAGTTAAGAATAAAACCAACTACACAAATGTTTTATAGGAGATGCATGGACTATAATGAAAGACAAAGCAACATGGGTTGAACTAGAAGTCACCATCATTCCTAAAAATCACATTACCAAGACTTAAAGACTAACCCTTTCATGGACCATAGTTACCCCCACCGTAAAATAATATACCAAATAGATATTGTCTTGCAATATCCTTAACCAGTTACAGTTAGAAAAAACTTCCACAGATATGCATCTCTTAACCACAAAATCATTGAAGCATCATAAATACATGTAAATTGAAATCAGTAATCAAGCATAAAAAAAAACTGTATTTGGACTTCTACAGGAGAAAATCACACTAAAGTACTAGATCAAAGACTATCACTGCCTCTTAGAGGACTCACAGCCTGAAGCCAGTTGAAGTTATTATTGCAAACAAATAGGCACGACCAATGTAGTGAAAACCAAGATCCTACCTGGGATGGGACAGGTATGCCCTTTCCAAATTGTTGTGCCAGTTGCGTTTCCTTTGATTGATGAACCAATTATTAATTTGCTTCAATTGCAACCCTGTCTCCTCCACAAGTTTTTCCTTGTCATCTTCCTTAAACAAAGAAAAATCAATGAGTTAGAATTCATCATAAAAATTTGAACCAGCCTTTCCATTCGCACGATGACCGGTACCGAATGGAGATGAGACAAAGCCTGATTAGATCTTCCTCCAAGCGAACCGGATTTGGGAAGAATGAAGAAGGAGGAGCAAAACCCCTCTCACCAGATCGGAAAATCGAAAGAAGAAAGGGAGGGAGCTCACAGCGATGCCGGTTAGGTCAAAAGCCACTATTGTTTGTCGATGATGTGGTTTCGAATTAGCAAGATCTGAGCGGCGGCGGCTTCAACAATTTGGGGAAGGTGTAGTCGTGGATGAAGGAGATACGGTGGCCGACAATGAAGAGGTGCGTTGGTGCTGGATATGATGAAGACAACAACTGCCGTGGATGGAGGTGAAGAAAGGCCCTGAGTCTCTGTTTCACGAGCGAAGAAGGAGAGAGGAGTGAAGCTGGTCGCACCGACGACGTCGCCGGACACCATGCTCACCGCAAGCGATTCTTATAGGAGGAGATGGCGATGGTCGACCTTCTATGTTGGTTTGAGAGTCATTTCATGAAAGAGAAGAAGACGAAGAGTTAGAGGTTTCTTTAGAAGACGATCAAATGTTTTGGGATACAAACTATTAGCGCGATATAAAGCGGGAAAATGAAAAAATATTTTCACTTTACAAAAATCGCCGGAAGTTTTTAGAGGTTTTCACAAACGCCGGAAATAAACCCCCTCTAAAATACATTATTTTTGTAGTGTATTACCACAATAAAATGCATAAATAGAAACAAAAAATAATTAGTTATAATATTGATCAATTTAGATACGAATTTGTGAATATCTAAAAATAGTATTCATTAGGAATAAAAAAATATAATTAATTTGTGAATTGCTCACTAAATTAATCTTTAGTATTAACTATCCAGATTTTGATTAAAAAAATTAACGTTAAAATTGGTGATAAATATTTGTTCTTTTCAATCCAGTGTTGCTTACAATATTAACAAGTTTCTTTCCTTTTTTTTTATTAATAAAGAAACAATAATAAAATATAAAGATACAAGAAGAATCTATATTAAAAAAACAATAAAGAATAAATTATATTTATATATTATGACACAAACATAAACACTGTATAACTTCAAAGATTACTGACATCTTGATTAATAATTTTAGGTAAGCAAAAATAATATATACAAAAGTTATACATATTATCATTGTAACTAATTAATGATGAATTTGGTCAATAATTTTGAGAGACTTGATTACCAAAAGGAAAAATTATGATAAAAAATTCACATTTAAAGTTTAGTTTATATATATATATATATATATATATATATATATAATAATTCAAATTTCGTTTCATATGTTCCTACAAAAAAATCCATACAATAATATTTTAAAAAAAACACAGTAACTCTTATTTCTCAACCTACATTATTCACTAATTTATTAGAGATGAAGTTGAATTACAATTTTTTTTTCCAATATATGAGTAAGTTTAACTTTACATTTTTTTAAACTTAACTTGTGTGCTTAGTTCACTAACTTTAATACCCAGCTAGTTAATTACATTATTTCAGATAATAAACACTTTTACTAAAAAAATCTCTATAGAATAAATTTTAATATATTATAAAGAAACTGAAAATAATTAATATTTATTTATCGATTTGAAAGAAGTGTTGTAAACGATAAATTATTATGGTCAATTATCTTGAATAATTCCATATTAATAAAAAAAATACTTTTAGAACCTTCATTTTTATTTTAACGTATCTTGTTTTGAGGAATTTAATTGTTACAAGTAAAATTGATAAACATATAAGTTGTGTGATTATTATTAACAATATAAAATTTGTGTGATAAAATATTAAAACTGTTATTTTTATATAAGTATGATCGATGAATTTTTTTTTCTCTCTTAAATTTTTAAGATATTATATGTTAATATTCTCACCAAAACACATTTTGATGTAATAATCCTTATAATAAATTTAAAGCAAAATCACAGTTCTATCATTATTTAATAGGTTAAATATTTTTTTTATCTTTTAACTTTTAATTAAAATTAGAAATAGTTATTTTTTAAAATTTTGTTCTAATTTAATCTTCAATTTTACACATAAATTTAGTTCTTATAACTAATTTATTATTTTATAATAATATTTGAGTTGTTTATATAATTTAATCACATTTGTTTTAGTGTTAACTAAAAGAATGTATTTAAAATATTAAATAAATTTAATAAAATTTGTTTAGAAAGATTAAATCAACACATTTCAACTTTATAAAAAAAAATGTTTAAAAACACAAATAAAAATTATATATAATAAATATTATTTGCAACCAAATATAGCAGCACTTCTGGTTTTAGAAGATTAACTTAAAATAATTAGATTAATTATATCGATATTGTTAACTAATAAATGATATGTCAGACAACTATTAAAACACACAACAATTTAAGTTGTCGGAAGAAGCATTTGTTGAAGAAGGTGTCGGATGCATGAAAGTTAAAAGTGATGATTTGAAGTAAAATATTCCTTAAATAAACAAAATCAATGTTATAAGAAAATTAACAATGAAGACACATATGACATGTTTTGCTTTGAAATATGTATTCTATCATCAAATTTGCAGATGTTGTTGACTTTTAATTCACCTAGTATTAGCAATCATCTGAATTCATTTTTCAATAAATTAGCAATTTAAAATATATACATAGAGATTAAGAATAAATAACAACTCTCCAAATATGACTAAATTTAAAATGATTTATAATATTTATCGATTAAAATCTAAAATTATGCAAAAAAATATATTATGAAACATATTAAGTTGTGTACTTTCTTAATTTAGTTAATCAAATATATTCTATAAACAATATTAATTACAAGATATATACTCAACACAAATTAACATCTGGAGAATATTTGATTTACAGTTGATATTTCTAGGACTTGGTTTTAGAATTCATTTTTAATTAAGAAATAAAATATTTTATTTTAGGAGTTTTTTTTCTATGATTTTGTTGAATTCTGAAAAGTGGAATCAATTTGCTAAAATGAAATTGTTTTAAGATATTAATAATAAGTAAGATTTAATCTTGTCTTTAATGATAGTTTAAACTAATCAAATTAACTATACTAATAACTCTAATGCTAAAAGTACTAAATATATAAAGTAATAACTATGTAAAACAATGGAAATTTAATTATGCAGTGTAAAGTGTTATTGTAACACTTAAAATCTATATTTATATTGTAGTCACTTTTATACTAAATTTTAATAATACAAGAGATAATTCATATACAAAATAAGTTTATAATCTTCATATAAATAAAAAAAATTCAAAATATAATAAACATGATTATTTAAGGAATATAAACACTTACAAAAACAATACTTATCTCATGATTTTTTTTCGGTTTTCATTATTATTATTCTAATTTAAAACATAATTTGTTCTTATGTAACATACTAGGTAGATACAATAATCACAAAACACAAGATAAGTTAGCATAGTTAAAAGATTAAAAAAATAGTTTGGAAGCAAACATTTTATATTTCATCTCAATCCCAAACATTTCTATTGGCATTAAATACAACGCTATTTTTCAAAAAAACGACCCCCCCCTCCCAAGCAAAAAACTCAGCATTGAATTGGAATTAGAGATTTTGTACCTATCATATATACTTTCAAGAAATCTTAACAAATTACTTGGGTTTACTTGATGCTACAAACAGGGACCTATGTGTTATTTTTTCATATAATAGGGTTAATTCCAAATAACTTGTTTGAAAAAAAAAATAAAGCATTCAATTTACATAATTAGCTTTCATTACATGTAATTTGAGCTTCTCACTCATAGTTTCAAGAACTCTATATACCTCATATGTTGTTCTACCTATAAATAGAAAACTCACATTAAGCATATGAACACACTCTAAGAGTCAATAATCAAATAAAGTTTCATTTTAAACTTTCTAAAGCAACATGGTACCTAGCGCTTCCATGCAAAACTACTAAAAAATTGATTTAAGAAAAGAGATAGAAATCAACTTACTGAAAATGAAATTTTAATTCACTACAACTTTTGTTCTCTATGCTAAGATTGCACACTTTGATCTTCATGTTGACATGTATAAAATATAGAAAGATGATAACTTTTATAAAATGATAACTATTATAGAATCAAATTCAATTATGTAATTTTCTATTTATAGTTCAAACTTTTTAATACTAAAATAATCAAGTCTCGTTTATTAGAACTAATTCCACTCTAAAATATTTTCTATATCATTATAATAATCACATGTTAATATTTAGATGACATATGTTTACTATTTTTTAAGTTTGTGCTACAAAATATTTTAATAAATGATCAAAACAAATTTTCTTAATGTGAGCTTTTGTTAACAATCAATAATTTTTAATTAAAACAGTATAATGTAGAATAAAAAATTATATTTTTTATCATGTGATTCTAGTTCAACAATCTTATCTATTCGAAAGGAACTTCATTATGAAGCAACTCAAACTTACATCTATTTAGATCATATTTCCATATTATAATTAAATCTCACTAGTTTAACATGTTGATTATTATTTATTATTATATTGTTATTACTAGATTGTTATTATACTCCCCATGTAAGTATTATTCTAATGGGAATATAGACCCACAACCCATGTTGATCCTATAAATATAACAGTAACTCTTAGGGGATATTCACTTCATACTTGATACTTGATAATTACTCTCACATAATAGACTTTAACTCTCTTACTGACTTGGGCATCAGAGAGTTTTTTGCAGGTGGATCTTCTCCTCTCATCAACGAGGAGACCCTATTCAAATATAAGAAACAATCAAAGCACCGTTAGGATCTTGTTATTTGTCTCTGAAGTCTACGCTTAAGATCCGAGTAAGAACATTGTGTAAAGATAGTCCATGATTACTAATAATCACTTTTGTTGGCATGAACATTTATGACCTAAGTTTTGTAATGGCTTTGAAGAATGCTATATTGATACTCATCTTTAATATTTTATTATGATATAATATTATATTGAATATTTGTGGAACAATAGAATGCATACAAATATTTTTCCCTACTTTTATATCACTCGCCTCAACATCTTAACAACAAAGATTAAATGGAGGACAAAAGAGTTTTGATGATGAAAATTGAAGATTAGAGAAATTATTATTTAATTAAAATTTTTGTTGAATAGCTATTTGTTATTGTATTTTATATTAGTTTTTGCATTTTAAACTTACATTTATTAAGAATACAACAAGACAAAAATAACTCGTATTAAAGCTTTTTTCTGAAAACGCACTGGAATAATCGATTATCGCTTGAGATAATCGATTATAATAGAGAAGTTTAAAGATGAAAATCGATTATCACTTGGGATAAACAATTGTCCAAGAAAAACAACCTTTTGAATAGCTCGCAGATAATATATTATCACTTGGGATGATCTATTATCTTAGGAAAAAACACTTTTATAAGCTTCACATATAATTGATCATCACTTGGAATAATTGATTATTCTTAGCAGTTGCAAGCAGACTCTTGAACTTCTGACTTATTTTCGAAATGCACCTATAAATAACCCATATTTGTGATCTTCTAAAGTCACAAAATCTTATAACCTTATTGAGAATTAAGTGCCTTGTTTGAATTCTTTGTGTTTTAAGTAAGTTTGAGAAACTTGGTGCTATATAGAAGGAAGTGTTAGTCTTAATGTGTCTAAGTATGGTAACACATCTGTTGAGCAAAGTTTCTAGCTTGTCTATCCTTGTGTTTGTCAAAGGTATTGTAAATCTTCTGTTAGTTAAGAGAGGTATATTTCTAAACTTCCATTCTACTTCACTTTATGAGTTGTTGGTTTACTTTTAGTTACAAGTTAATCCATCTTTTAAAGAGATTAACAACTGAACGTAAGATATAAACTCTTTTATTTACTTGCTATTACTTGTGTTGATTTTTTCCATTTTTATAAAGTTATTTTTTTTAAAAAAGGGAAGTTCATTTAAAAAAGAAGAAGCTTATTTTATCCAAAAACCAATTCATCCTCTTCTTGATTGTTGTTTATCTTCAAACATTTCGCTGCGTGTTTTCAATAAACAAATTTTGGGTCCTTATTTGCATTAATTAATGGGGCTTATGTGGCGACACCTTATGATACATTGATGAAATTTGCCAAACTTATTTTCATGCAAAAATTCAAAGGATGACACATATGTTTAAAACCCATGCAATTGATGTAACATGTTAAACTTTTATTGGTGGAAATTCTTTAAGATCCAACCAAAGTTAAATTATCACGTGACCTCAATGACCCAATGTCTTCCAGTCATGGCTATTGCAATTCATAAGAAGTAAATACATTGAAATATATAATTACAGGGTTCTCAGGCTACATCAAAATATGACTAAAGAGGATATCAAACTCGTTTGTAAGAAGAAACTAGAGTTTTCAATGCCACCGGGACAAGCATTCCCAATTGCAAAGGCCATTAGGAAATATGCCACAAGTTCATTCAAGCATACATTTGCACCCTACTAGGTCCTCATAAATGACCTATACAGAGGTTGTAATTTTAAAATACACAAGTAAGTGGATCTAGAGTTATATCTCGTATAGTTCCATATCATGAAGCTATCTCAACTCAATTATGGTAATTCATACCCAAGATAGCCATAGAAATGACATAGTAACTATTTGTCCATTGATTCTGTGATCACTCTAATTCCAATTGCAATTTTATTTTTTGAAATTGTAATTACTATTTAGTATGTTTTAATATTTATTTGTTGTGAATTATCAAATTTTATGATGTTTCATTTAGTAGTTTCTATACTATTAAATGAGACGTTACAAAAAATATCACTTGAATTTGAGTGTCTAGAAACTAATTTTAAGTAACTTTTCTAATTTTATAATATTGTTCAAAATTACAAATGTATTAAAAATATGTTTTACTAAAAATATACTATCAAGAAATTGTTAACATTTAACAATAATACTTAAAGTTGATATTTTGACTCTTTAAAAATTGAGTTTTTAAACATGAATGAATCTATTTGTTAACCTATATAGTTCAAGTGTTCAAGTTAAATTATAACCTTTTTTATTCTTTAAATTATGAATAAGGTTAAATTGACTCATTTTTGTTTTTTTCGGACCAAATATATTTTGTACTAGTCATTGTCTTTCTTATTACTCAATTCTCGTCCTCCGAAGCTCTATATACATCCAAAAAGGAATGATTTTTACAAAAAAAAATTTGAATGCTCAAGTCAAAATTTGATCAGAGTTTTTTAATCAAATTTTAATTAACGCAAAAATAACTCTTAAATTATCATTAATGTTATATTTATAGAGTTTTATCTCGTTCAGTGTGAGTTTAATTGGATGAGCTACAACTTGTAATTCCATCATTCCTAAAGCTTGTTTAAACATGCTTTATCTTTTGATCAAGTCCATCTATGGATCCTTAAATAGGAGACATCAGTTCTTAATTTTCAGATTGTGATATATAATTCATAGTACCCAATATTCTATTATTTAAAGCTATATATCTTACTTGGAAGAACCAATAGGACTATAGCCCTATAAAATAAAATTCATAACGTGTTTAGTTTATTGATTTTAATAATATATTTTATCTCAGGAACCATAATAAATATATAATTAATAATTGAATTCATAACTTGTCTGTTTGTATTTAAAAACTTTACATTTTAGTTTTTATATATTTTTTGCATTGATGATTATGGAAAAGTATTAAAGTTGAGAGTTTGAGAATAAACTAAAAAAAAAGATAGTTAATTGTGTATTATTTCATTTGTGGTCCATAAATGCGTATAGGAACAGTAGTGACTAGACATCGTTTAATAAAACTCCAAAGCAAGGAAGCTGCAACTTACATGAATACACTCCCTCTTCTTTTTCAAAAGCGCGGGAAAATTTTATTTTCTTTAAAATTTGAATCATATTTCATTTTTATAAACCAAAACTTCCAATTTTCAATTTGTGAATGTTTTGTGCCTCACATTTTCTAATTAAATCCATTTATACAAATTAAATTTATTCATATTTAAATATTATCGTTAATGAGATGAAGAGAATCAAAATAACACGTAAAAAAAGAAATATATTAAAAAGGCACATAATTAATATATTTATTAAAAAGAAAACAGAGAAAAGATGTATTTATTAAATTTCTTTCATTTTCACACATATTTAATAATTAATTGTGTGTTAAAAAATATACATTGAAAAAGGAAAAAATGTATAAAAGAAAGTGTGAAAAATGTATAACATTAATTAGATTCCTTAAACTGAAAATTGGAAGTAATAAAAATTAAAGAAAAAAATTAAATTTAGTTTTAACGTTGAGGTATTTGGGGAAGAGTGCAGAATAGGGAAAAGCGAAGGGGCGAAATGCAAACCCCAAACGGCAAAGTGAGAAGAGAGTTATAGAGTGGACGTAAGCAAAAGGAAAGTGGGGAAATGAAGGGCGTGGATGAATCCATGAAAAACCTACGGTTAAATCATGACCGTCATGATGAACTCATCACCATTGATTGTTCCAATTTCCACCACACAGAGAGGACATTTTACAAAACTACCTAACACAGTTTCTCTCTCTAACTCAATTATATTAACACACTCTTTCTCTTCTTCAAGTGAAACCAATCCAATTCCCAATTTTCGAATCTACCCTTTCTCTCTCTCTCTCTCTCCACCATGGAGCCATCCTCGATCCCCCCACCGCAAGCTCCGCCAGCCACCGCCGTCCCGTTCCCGGCCGACACCAACGACCACCTCCCGGCGCCCATTGCAGAGCCGCCGTCAAATCACCCGCCCTACGCCGAGGTAAGCGAAGCAGTTTTTATATGGAAAAAAGAATTCGGTTCTTTCTGTGTTTTCAAACCTAATTGAATTCTTGTGAAGATGATATACACCGCAATCGAGGCGCTGAAGGAGAAAGACGGTTCGAGCAAGAAGGCGATAGGGAAGTACATGGAGCAAGTTTACAAGGACCAGCTTCCTCCGAATCACTCCACCTTGTTGACTCAGCACTTGACTCGGATGAAGACCAGTGGAATGCTCGTCATGGTGAAGAAGTCCTACGCGCTTCCTAGATCTGCTGCTGCAGCTGCCACTGCTGCTGCGGAGGAACCTGTGCCTGTGCCCTCTCCTTCAACCCTTCCCAGGCCCAGAGGTCGGCCCCGAAAGGCCCAAACCCCTGTCCACAACCTTCCCCAGCCTCTGGCTCAGGACCAGGACGCTGTAATCCCATCGGTTCAGCAGAATGCTGAACCAGTCTGGGCGGCGCTTGGGCTTGCTGACGAGCCTGTGCAAGCTGAGACCCCAAAGAAGCGTCCTGGCCGACCGAAGAAATTGGCCACTGGAGCCCCTGGAACGGGGCGGAGAGGCCGTCCTGTTGGCTCTGGCAAAGGCCCGGGTCGACCTCCTAAGCCCAAATCCATTGCTTCAGACACTTCTCTTTCTGCCTCTGCAGGGTCGAAGAGACGCCCGGGCCGCCCGCCTAAGAATCAGACCCAAGCAACTCAAATTCCATTTGCTCCATCTACACCTACTGCTGGTGCGGATGCCGGTGCCGGTGCCGAGGCTGGGGCTGTTTTGCCGGTCTCAGAGCCTGTGGAAGAACAGGCTCCTGCAGGTGATGGAATTATACTCGGGCCTAGAGTCCGTGGTCGACCGAAGAAGTTTGCTGATGAGATGATTTCCTCCGGCCGAGGCAGGGGAAGGGGTCGTGGACGAGGGCGTGGGCGTGGGCGTGGTGGTGGTTTGCAGTTCGCCAGACCTGGAGTTAGGTCCGTTGGCCGCCCGAGGAAGGTGATAAAGTTTCTTGCAATGTTGTTTTAATTTTGTTAAGACATGGTTTTTGAAATGTTTAATGGTTATGTTTTGGTGTGTGTTTTTCTGTTTGAGGGTGCATGTGGAAACTTCAAAATTTAAAATGTGGATGCTTTATTAATTCTGTACTAGATTGATTGCGTAAATAGTCTTTATTGCGTTTATTGATTATTATCCTCTGTGGCTTTATTATTTTGTTTTTGGGGGATATTACTTCTGAATTGAATTGTGATGCTTTGCATATATGTGTTAAAAATATATATTGGTTTTTATAAAATTATAAATTTCTTTTCTTCTGAATTATTGATTTAGTTTTTATTAGATCTTCTCTGTCTTTTGTTGTATTGGTTTTTTGCATTACTGTAGAGCGTGTCTTTAAAATTTCGTGGCTTCATTTGACGATAATTTATCCCCTACAGAAAATGGTTTTATTTTGTATCTGGGGATTCTATTTTGTTTGAGGTGATGATAATGGTTGAAAATATTATCTGGTGATTTCTGTGGAGAACGGTTGGTTTTTATGTTTAAACTGCGAGTTTAATTTATGGAACTATTTTGACTTGTGGAATTTTTTACGAGTGAATTATGCACTTTGTAAATTGGACTTTTGTCTGTAGTATTATTGCGTACTGAATATGCGTGAGTTTCTGTTTAAATTGTGGGTTAGTTTATAAGGATTTTTCTGATATGCAGAATTTATCAAAATTGTCCGAGAAAATATTTAAATCTGTTAGTGATTTAAAATTGTTTTTCCCTCAAGTATTTATGTGATTATTTTTTCTTGTTTGGAGGGTAAAATGTCTGGTTTATGAACTTGTTCGAAGTAAATTTTTATATTCTCTTGGCGTGGATTAATGAAAATCTTTTGTCTTTGGATACTTTGAAATCTGTACTAATTTGATAGTGAAAATAGTATTTATGTTGTCCTCTTTGACTTCAATAAATGCTGCTTCCCCTCGATGTAGTTGAGGGGTTTTATCTGGAATCTTAACTTGATGTTTTCAAAATAGTATAGTTTATAAATTATGTAAAAATACGTTGGGCTGTGTAAATTACAAATGTTTATTTTAGCTATTTTTAAAATCCCGTATTAGATCTTTTTTGCTTAATGCATTACTATGGACCATATGTTATAAAGCATTATAAGAGAGTAAGCAAAACTCTGGCATGACTTTGTTCCAGAGTTTTGTTTGCAAAGAGGTTTTATCTTAATTTTGAGGTATCTTTTGTGGGAATTTATGTTGAAATAAAGTGAGTTTTTTTTTGAACTGCAAGTTTAGACTGCGGAACTACTGTGATGTGATGTGTGGTATTAAACACGTGTAAATTATGCACTTCCATAACGGGAGTTTTTGTTGTCATCCACGTTGAAAACCTGAGTTTTTGTTTTATCTGCGAGTGTACTTTGAAGGAATTTTAATGAAAACCTGAGTTTGTGTTTTATCTGCGAGTGTACTTTGAAGGAATGTTCGTATATTTTAACGTGAGTGTCTGCCAAAAAAGTTAATAGAGGATATTTTAATTTTATTTTGTGACAAGGTTTATTTATTTAAATATCTTTTAATGATTTTAAAATGTTTTTGCTCGTATGGGATAATTTCTGTGTTGTTTTTCTTATTGTATGAGTGGATACCTTAAAATCTCTAGGATGATTAAGAAACTTGTATTTGTCAATAAATCCTTTTTCTTTTCCATTTTATTTTGGGCCTGGAAGATATTTAACAGGGATTGAATTATAATGCTTTGTTAAAAGGTTTTGGGTTAAAAACTTTTGTGATAATATTTATTTTAGGATATTTAAGCTACCACTCTTTAGTGACTTTTTTTAATCTGTTATTGGTGCCTCTTAATGATTATATGCTATTAAAAACAGTAGATGTTTGTTATACAAGTTTTTTTTTTTTATTAAAGGAAATTTTTTTTATCTTTTTAGATTTGGTTTTAGGTGATGATAAGTTATTAGACATGATTTATGATGTTTATTTTTTTTTGTAAATCTTATTGGCAGTGAAATTTTGGTGTTCTTTTCGTGAGTGCGAGATGCTTATACTTTAAATTTGAACTAGATTGATTGCAAAGATATTATATATCCTGTAATCCTGTTTACTAATTATTTTCATTTTTTTTTTAATAGTTGGGGGATTTTTACGTGGAAACCAATCATAATGCTTTGTAAAATATACTGGATTTATAAAGCATTATAAATATTTTGGACCATTGTAAACATTTTACTTTCCTTTTTTTTAACTCTTTTACACCCTCTGCTGCAATATTGCTGCTGCATCCCTGTGGACCATATGTGATTATAATATTGCGGCTTTATATGCGTTTGTTTTTTCTGAAGAAAATGGGTTTATTTCATTATTAGGTGGTTTGAGGTGTTTGTAAGTTAATAACTGAATATGTTTTAGTAATTTTCTGTTGAAAATGCGAGTTTTATCTTTAAACTGCAAGATTTTAATCTGTAGACCTGTTTCTATGTGTGGAATTTGACTTGAATTACACTTTAGAAATAGTATTATTTGTTGAAATTCCTGCTGAATAACAGAATGGTTATTTTTGAAGGACGGATAGACTATTATTACATGTCACAATTTGACTTGATTATCTGAAAAAGGATGTTTGTGGATTATATGGAACTCTATATGCAAGTTCGATATTATTATTTTTTTATTCTTGTAATAATATTTTCAAGCAATCACGTAATGAGAGTAGGATTAATTTGACATGTAGAATTATTGGGTGAATTACGCATCCTGAAATATAAATTAAAAGAACTTTATGGATAATAAAAAGCCATCTACAAATTTATATCTGATTTTAATATATTTACGATTGCTTTTGTTCTCAACTGTGCATATACTTATTGAGTTCGCAACTGTGTTTAAATTTTAAATGTTTGAATTTCTTCATTATTTTTGGATGCCCTTCCTTATCTGGTTTGCTTCCTATGTTTTATAGAAAAAAGGAACATTATGTATCATAGAAAAATATGTTCGTGTTCTCTGCAGTTTTTGTTCGATTTATAGTTTTTTATGTTCCCTATACACGAATTATGCTACTACTTTTTGTTAACATGTTTGAATTTCTTTCGTATGAGTAGATTTTCTACTTTTTTTAGCTTACATTTATTCTGTCTCTTTATAAGTAACAATCATTTTAAAATTTGTCTTGTACATAAAACTGTTGTGTACAAGAACAAAAAAGTACATTTCATACCTTATTTTCCTTCCACATTTATTTACTCTACTTTTTACATTTTGGTGGGACAGGGGTCAACTTTTGCTGGATCTCCACCAAATGCTGCTCATGAAGAACTCAAAAGGAAGCTGGAACACTTTGTGAGTTGACGTAGTCTTTGTTGCATTGTCAATTATTCATTATATTTTTTGAATTTGTTATATCTGATCGTATATTCATTAATTTGCAGCAATCGAAAGTGAAGGAATCCCTGGCAGTGATTAAGCCTCATTTTAACCATCAAAGTCCTGCCACTGCAATTGCAGCTATTCAAGATTTGGAAGAGCTGGGAACTATGGACCTCAATGCACCACTAAGGGATGAAACAATTCCTCTGCAACAGGAGGAGCAGCCACCACAGGCGCCGCAGCCAGTACAGGCGGCTCCACCACAGCAGCAGCCACCTCTGCCACACCTGGCACCAGCACCACTGCAACCTCAGACACAGCTATTTCAGCAGCCATTTCCCTCATTTCAGCTGCAGCAGCCGCCATTCCATCTTCAGCAGCCACCGCTGCCGTTCCAGCAGCCACCGCAGCAGCACCAGCTATTCCAGGCACCCCCATCGCACCAACAGTTTCATCCATAGGAGTAAAAATGAGGGTAACAATTTGATTATGAAAGTAGGAAGTATATTTTATTGTCTTGAATTTGGTTATGAACAATCTGAACAAGTGTTTTAACAAGACACATGAGGGCAACAGATTTGTAAAGCGAGTAGGCAGTAGCAGAACTGAATTTTCTTCAGTGAACCGATTCGTCATTTAGTTTGTTGTTGTGCACTGGTCTAGATTGACACCTCAAGTAATGTTTAGATTATTAGTGTACTCATCATTTTGTAATTCAACTATTTTTTCTTTTACTCTCTCCGTTTCTAACTTATTCATTATCCTCTTTTTCATATACTTCTATCTCAGATATAAATATATTTCATTTTTAAACTACTTCAACTAATAAATAAATAATCTTTCTATCTACAATAATTATTTTTCAGGCTATTTATATTAATGTTTTATATCTATTAAAATGCTTTATAATCTATGGTTAGATACCAATTTTAAACATCAATGGTTTTAGAACGTATTTGTCAGAAGTTGCATTCTTAGAGTTTCTAGCCGCAGCAGGTAAAAAATGCATTTTTATTTTTAATTTTAAAAACCTAATATTTTTTTATCAATTACTTGAAATGTTTTGATTTCCTGAGTATCTATTTGACAACGTAATATTTTTAACTTTCGAACTGTTACGCAGAGCTTGTATTGTGTCTTCTTAGAGTATTTTTTTTTTAAATCTAATACATCAAATTCTTAAAATATGGTTGGTATTATTTATTTGGTATCAAAAGTAAGATTTTTTTATTCTTTATTTCAACCCAAGTATTTTTGGAACAGTTTATATAAGCATTAAAGTTTTTTTAGTGAAGTACTCTTGTAAGTTACTTATCTAAAAGTATGTAAAATATGTTATATTGTAAATAAATGTAAATATCTGCGTTATTTTCATTATTATCATGTTAGTACCTTATTTGACGCATACTAGTATGTTTGGACAAAAACAGTAGATCATGTAGAAAATGCTGTCACTGAAGTTTATCACTCAAAATCTACGTAGCTAAAGCTGAAGATCGAATGCTAGTAACATAATTTTCCAACTCTCATCACTGAAAATCAAATTTATAAAGGAGTTTTTTTTTTCACACTAAATGTATTACTTTGATAAACTACTTTTAGAAATATTTTGGTCATTAGAAACAATTAATTTTTATATTTATAAAGAAAAAAAAATTAAAAGGTAAAATAGTAGTCATAAAATATGTGTAAAATTTTGTTGAATGTGAAAATAAGAATACCCTTTATAAAATTATCACTGAAATTTTGTATACTTTTTTATATAGATGAAAGAGTGAGACAGTTGCAAAGATGAAAATTCTATTTGGTCCTCTGTTTTTTTCCAAAACACACTGAAAAGACTACACACTACAAAACCTCAATTTCTTTACCAACTTCTTTATTTTCTTTTCGCACCTCCCATTATAGTACAATGATGGAAACAAACTTTTAAGCTAATATTCCAAACACATTACTGAAAATATATTTCGAATTGAGATGTATAATTTAAAAATGATTTTTAATAGTTTTAGATTAAGTCTAAATCTTATTTTGAATATAGATGAAAAAATTAAACATTTTTTTAAAACTATGTTAAAATAGGTCATAGAATACAAATATTGCACTAATGTCCTAAGATGATTACAACTAACAAATGTTATATTTTATATTTAAAAGAACTAAATATTGTGAAACCAAATTTAAAACTACTCATTAGGTTAAAATAGTTTTTCACACCAATTAATTTACTTGATATTAAATAGTGTTACGCGTTTAAATGGATTCTCATGACAACTTAGTTGTGTTATGGCGAAGATTGTGCTAATAGTAGAAAGAAAATAAATTTAGATTATATTTAGAATTTAGGATTTAGATTACATTTCAGGTGATAAAAAACTATTAAAATAATATTTAATATATTGTTTAATAAAATTTAATTCAACATGTAATTTATATGCACAAAATAATGTAAAAGAATATATTTATGTGCATACATAGCAAGCAACATTTTAATAGTGATATATAAAATCACAAATTTAGACGTGTGGATTACTCTCTTGATTCATATTATGTGGGTGATATGGCCCATGAGAAATGCCTATAGGTTTGGTTGCTAAATATTTTTTATCATCAACTAAAGCAAGAATTGTTGGATATATGGTAGATAATAGGTCTAAATGGGTGATGAATGTAAGATTGTGATTATAGTATTATGTTTGTAATTACATAGTATTGTATGTTATGAAGGATTAGATGTCTATGTTCCGAATGATTTATGAGTATTAAGGAATGAAGATTCTATTATATAGATATTTTTATGATAATTGTTGAATTGTTAATCTAAGAGTGAAGGATGAATATTATGTGTGAAATAACGTTAATTGTTCTATTAATTTTGTAAGTTATAAAGATGGTATAATATGTTGGATATTGGTTGAAATTGTTGAATATTTTATTCTTGAAATTATGAACAATATTTACTGTCTTATCCTTGCATTTTTGTGGATGCAGTTTTCACCTACAATAATCGTATAATTTTTATATGTGAGCAGATGATCAAATAGAAGTTCTTATAAAAAATCTTGAGGAGTAGTGGTGAGTAAAAATAATTTTGCATCGTATTGTAAACATATATTATATTGTGAAAATTGAAAATGTGTATTGAGTATTAAGACTAACTTATGTATTATATTATGAAAATTGAAAATGTGTATTGAGTATTAAGACTAACTTTGTTATACTAAATTAGGAATCTCATGTTAAAACAATCATATGTATTATAAATAAAATGTATATTAAAATTTATCAAAGTAATTAATAGTATATTATTTACTAAGTTGGATTGTTACAATGAATAATTATG